TTTAACCTTTCACTTTACTAAATGGAGATCTGACTTTTTCAACAGTTGTATCCCAAGGAGGCTGAGACCAAAGGCAGGACATTGACTGACCTCATATCAAGTCTCTCGTGCACGGCAGCGCACAAGGTGCTCTCTCCCCAGCTTTAGAAGTGAGTGTCTCTGTGTATATACACACTCAAACTACCACCTTTTTTATTATTATTATTTTTACCCAAGACACCTCTGTTCCTCACTGACTTTTAATCCTGCCTTGTAACGATTCTATGATTTTCAGACGAGATAAACTCTGCCCTTAGAATAGCCTCTCCTGATTGATGCTCCTTACATTTTCAAAGGGATTTGGCCTCTCTGAGCTGCCAATTCTTTGCCCAGTAAAATCCTGATGATGGGGCAAGCTCCCTGACAGTATCATCCCTCTACCATGCCCCCTGACAGCATCATCCCTCCACCATACCCCTTCCTCTTCCTCCAGCCTTCCACAGGGACCTGACAAAGGCCACGGCTCAGAGATGCCCCAGGACGGGTGGGTTTAGGAGTTGACTCCCCGTGTACCGTGGCACGTGGGTCTGCTCACAACAAGGCTGCACGAGGTGCTCCTCCGTGCACCATACGCCCAGAGGATTCAGAGTCCCGAGCCTGTTCCTGCCTACACACTGCCCGGGAAGGTGAATCTGGGTCCCTTCGAGGCATTTTCTCTTGTTCCCATTTAAATTCTAAACACAACTGTCTCTCTTTTACAGACCCTTTTGCCGAATTTTTGTCACTTCATCTTGCAGGGAGCTTTCTCCCTTAGAGCAAGTCATTGTCTGAGCCATCATCTGGGCTGTGCCTTCAGACTGATTACACTTGCAGATAATTAGAAAAGCTCTCCGAGTAATCTACATTCTGATAAATGACACCCAAGGTGACATCACCCTTATATCACTTCATTAAGTCTCCTTGAGTGTAAAGCTATCTGAATTAAAGGCTATGTTTAATAAGTGAAAACAGTCAAGTGTTGCAATTTCCTTTTCAGGTAGTGTTACCCGCCAAGGAGGTGGGCCATTAAAAATGCAGGCGCTGTCAGTATAGCGGGTGCCTCTGTGTATATTCCAAGTGCTTGCATTTCTCTTTGGCGTACGCAGGTGCTTCTGATGGAGCAGGAAATATTCCGTACCCACAGATGGAGATGTTACTGCTGGAACCAGGAGCAACCACACTGATGGCTGCTGTTAGCAGAGCAAGCGGTTGGCTGCATGGAGGTGGTACGGTGCAATACTATTAATTATTCAGCACTGTACATTTGATTTCAATAATCAGTTTGAAACTTATGAACAACCTGGTTCACGACAAGGTATACGCAAAAACTATTGTTTTATCATTTCGTGAGACCTCCCTTGCAGTACTGCCTTCAGCTCTGGGGTCCTCAGCACAAGAAGGACATGGACCTGTTGGAGTGAGTCCAGAGGAGGCCACGGAGATGATCCGAGGGCTGGAGCACCTCTGCTGTGAGGACAGGCTGAGAGAGTTGGGGTTGTTCAGCCTGGAGAAGAGAAGGCTCTGGGGAGACCTTGGAGCAGTCTTCCAGTACCTACAGGGGCCGACAAGAGAGCTGGGGAGGGACTTTTGAAAAAGGGCAGTGGCTTTAAACTGGAAGAGGGAAGATTTAGATCAGATATTTGGAAGAAATTCTGCTCCATGAGGGTGGTGAGGCAGTGGCAGAGGTTGCCCAGAGAAGCTGTGGCTGCCCCATCCCTGGAAGTGTTCAAGGCCAGGTTGGATGGGGCTGTGAGCAACCTGGTCTGGTGGGAGGTGTCCCTGCCCATGGCAGAGGGTTGGAACTGGGTGGGCTTTAAGGTCCCTTTCGACCAAACCATTCAATGATTTTATGATCTGTTAATTCTAACTCCCTAAATCTCATGGCACTGGCAATATAAGTACAATGCGGTTTTGCACAGAAAATACCTTCAGTTAAGCTCACAATCAAGGCCCAGACCCCATCTCTGCACGTAACGTGATGTGGGCAGGGCATTCAGCGTGGCTCCCTTTGCAGAATCACAGCTATGAACTACAGTACTATTCTCTTCTGCAAAGACAGTTGTTTTCTTCTCTCAATCCTTTCCTATAAAAGCACATTTTTAGAATAATGCATTGTACTGCAACCTACTTTTTTCCAAAATATTCCTACGTTAACCTGACGTGGCCTGTTATGACTGAAGTGAATCTCTAATACTCTTGAATGGAAGCAGCAAGAAGTAAAACAACAAACTGTCCAAACCCCATGCTTGTTACTACGCAGCTGTTTCAGTGATTACACTAGACTCCCCACGTGGTTTGATGAAGTGTCCCCAAAAGCAAACCGCAGCATCCCTCAAGGGTAGATGCAACAACCCCAGGGCCTGGGCAAGCACAGAAGGCAGCACCCAACTCAGTTTACACCACTTTGGCATAAGGAACCGATCCCTCTCTTCTCTGGGGAAAACCCAAGGGACTTGGCTGTTTCTGCCGTAAGCGTACATACTGCTTTGAAATGGTCTGCATCCCAGCAGAAATGATCTGCACAACAATATAGGCGTCCTTGGCAGAAGTACAACTTAGCAGCACTGGATCATGCCCCAAACCACGCCAAGACACGCCAGTCGCTAGAAACAGCACTATTAATTACAGCGATGTGTTGTATTTAATCTTATCTGGAAATAAGGTGGGGTGGGCTAAACGTACTTCCATTTTCTCATTCTACATCTTACCCATCCCAATCAGGGAAATTTTTTCATGCTTAAATAAATATAAATGACATTCATGTAGGAGATCTACATATAGAAATATTTCTGCAAGCTGCCATATGAAAAGGTAAGCTGCCCACAGGGTGCCTTCTTGGAGATGCTTTTCTTCTTGATCGCAGCCTGTGGCCACGAGCACTGAGCTGCTCCCTGCTACGTGCAAACATTTCGATGCGGAGCCTGAGCCTCCCACACCTCACGCCGGTGCTCGGGAGCACTACAGCTGTCAGAAACCGATGGTCTGTAGCCTAGTACCTCACTGCATTACAAATTACCAATCAAATTTTAAAATAATGATGATCATCATTCATAATATTATTACATCAGTGGGATATTAAGACTCTCATACCAGCAATACAATTCAAAGCTAATGCTTTTTCTGATGCACAATTTACTTCAGTTTGTAGAAGAGGGAAGGAAGATGTCAGGGCATCTCATTTGGTAGAATATTGAGCTATAATGCGGCATTGCAGTTCGACAGGGTAAGTTAGCCATCGAAAACAAATGTTTCTGCTGAATCTATGCCGAGGGAAGGCAGAACACCATTTGTACATCCGCATCCGAAAGCACAGGCTGTGAGCAATTGTAATAAAACAATGGCATAAACAATAAGGGTGATAAGAGAGTTTTAGAAATTATCCCAAAGATCTTTTAGCAATTTTGAGCCAAATTCCAGCCTTCAGGGGAGATTCCAAATGCCAAATTTAACAGCAGTGTATTCCCAGCAGTAACTGCACTGTTTCTATGCACAACACTCCTACTCCCATCCGCAAATTGAAACCAAAAGCAGATGATATGAAATATGGAAAGTTTTCATCAATTTTCAATCAAAGTAAAACATATCCTCCTATGAACTAATTTCTTTTGATCAAAATTCAAGGCAATTATTCAACATAACACATTTAAACTACTGCTGTGAAAAAATAAAAGGAGAGGGAAGGAAAGGTAAAGGGAGGCAAGAGCAAGGAGGACGTCAGACGGCGTTATTGGCTTTGCCATCTGTATCCCAGGAGACACATTCTGGCCGAAGCTTTATCCACTGCGTTTTAAGCCCCGAGCAAGTGCCCCAACCCTACACAACTGAGGTTCACGCCACAAATCCAGGCTCACCAGAGACCTGGCGGTTTGAGGGCAGAACCCCTACATTTTTGAGTTTTAGAAACAATTTTCTAGACAAGCACCCTCAGGCTAACGCCTTAATTCAGCACATCATTAAACTGGCAACGCTGCTGTTGTCTCTGTGGATCACCTGGTAGCACTTGGTCAGGTCTGAATAGCTCCAAGAACACCCCTCTCTCCCATCATTTCCTTTCAAAACAACCACTTCAAGTTCAAAAAACTGTATCACCCCGTGTAATGACAGATATCTTAATGAAGATACACATGACTCAGTTAAAAATGAAATCGTTCACACTGTTTCTTGGGCATCTCTGTAACTAAAACTAACCCCTTGAATCTCCATGTGATCAGAAACAGGAATTCCTAGAAAACATGATATTTCCAATGGTGGGCAGTACCTCATAAAAGGAAAAGAGGAGTGAATCTGTCAGCCAGCAGAAAATAACAGAGGTCAAACAAGATGCTACCAAAGGTCATGAACCTCAGTCACAAATACAGACAGTGCATTTTCTATGTTACTGAGTTGAGGTTGTAAAAATTTATTTAACTCCAATTTCTTAAATAACATCAGTGAGAACAAAAATCTCATCAACAACTTTATGCTACCTAAAATGAAAACATTTCACTCTAATACTAATACTGCTAATACTTTCCTATCTACAGGTGCATTTCCTTCAAAAGTTGAATTCAAACACATATGGTTAGTACACGACTGTAAGCAGACGGTGCTTTGACACAGTAGGTGGCTAATTTGTGACTTGCAGGTGGGTGATAAGGCACAAGTTGCGGAAATATTCTCCATCTAAAACAAACTAACAAAAAACCCTCCAGTCACCCTGCACTCAAACAAAAGTACTTCTGGGTCTCGTTGATAATACTGATTTTTCCTGCTGGATGGACAGCCAGAAAAAGGAAGAAATAGAATAACGTGTTTTTGACTCTTTCCATCTACTTCTCTTGTCCTGTAAGGCTGATGCAGCTGTTCCATTTTGTCTACAACCTACAAAAATCCAATTTATTTTTTCAATCTGTCTCCAACCAAGCTTCCTTACATCAGCTGTGCAGTCATTCCACTGCAGCCCGCATCCAGCAGTATGAGGAGGGTGAAACGAATGAAGTTACCTGTGCATTTACGGTCCGTGTCTTCTTTCTTTGACCCGCTGATGGTTAACTTGCAGTTAAAGTTCTCCTCCCAGTACTCTGCAAACCACACGTTCCTTCTGTTGTTCTCCAGGGTGCGGGAAGTAAAATAGGCATCGAACCCTGGAGAAGGAGACAGGCAGAAAGCTGAAGACTAGCTCATCCCCCACGGCAAGTGCTGCAGCCTGAAAAACACATACCCCGTTTCTCTCTCCTTCAGTATCCAGCACACATTCACATCTCTAGCCACACGAGATGACCGTGGAAAGAAAAGAAGTCCGTTGCACATTTTATCTAATGAGCTGCATCTTGCCAGTAAATTACTCTGCTATTAACTGTGAGGTATAAAGCTAGGCAAGTTATAAGTAAAAGAGGGATTAATATAAAAATAGTTATAAGCAAAGTGCATGGATTAGATATATACCATTAAGGAATGAAAATAAATGATATGGTATAGCTGATATTAGGCTGAACTCAATACAACTAATTTTGTAATTAACCTCTCCCGACCCCCAGAGAAGGCAGTTTCACCTAAACTGGTCATTATCAGTACACCTTATTGTTTTTGTAGCATGTGGTTTTCCCTTCATTTCCCTTCACAAAGGTACAGATAAACTCAGAGAGCAAAACCTCCAAGAGGTGACTGCGAATCACCGCTGTTTCCCAGGCGCTGGGGTTCGACACCCTGAAGTGGGGGGGAAGGTTTCCTTCCTTAGACCCGTGAGATTCAGGTGGTTACTGAAGCCACGTGGCCACAAACAGCTTGCAGTGCTGCAACAGTAAAAATGACGCACAACTCCAGTATTACAAGAACAGGGAAAAAATTGTAATTTTTAACAGCCAAGCTGAAGGGCAGTAAAGTTGTCTGAAACCCTTGAGTCTTCTTTTTCTGAAAATACATAATCCTCTATTCACTGAAAGGAACCACGTAACAGCTGTTGAATAGCTGTGTAGCAGCGGCTGGTCCATAGTTTTCACATGGCTCTTAACCGTATTCTAGCTCTCTGTAGCACCTCACCAACTTGCCAGAGGAGAAACGTATTTTGCTTTGGCTTTGTTTATTTTTTTTTGCAGAAATGTCTATCACTGAATATACACGTATGTATACAAACACGCACACGCATGTCTATAGTGATTAAAGCAAAGGTATGTCTAAACAAACCAGGAGGGCAGATAAAAAAAAAAATTAAAACTCTACTCCAAAATTAGACAGTTCATTAAATTCTGATCACAAATTAGACCTGCCAGAGTGTTGGGATTTTCTCTATCAAGTTTTCAAATTCTGTAGTTTAAAACCAAGCGAAATACCCTTTACCAGTTCAGGCAATATCTCTTCAAAGATCACGCTCATTATAACGGATTTTTCTCACAAGACAGTACAGAACTCTGAAACAAATATTTACTTTCCCAGTACGCAATGGTAACTTTAGACCGAAAGGAACATCCCATTATGAACTACTCCAGGCACTACTGCTTCACTTTGCTGTATTTAAGCACTCTTCTACCCGTTATTGTCTAAAGTTGAGACAACTCCCTAGAGCCTAAAGAAACCTCTGTGCATACAAATAACTGCGCGTCAATCGACAGGCACCCCAAGGACCAGCACGACGGCAGAAATCCGACCTTCGTCACTGCGGTGGCTGAAGCTCCCACGAGAGCACGGTGTGACCACCCTCCCACAGCAGTTTTACTGTATTACTATCCCAGTATACTTCTGGTTTTGCTTGGCAAACAAAAGACTTGCACAAGGACAGATATATTAGTACATGTCTATGCGCTCATATGTGAAGTCTTTTGTCTTTTTCCCTTGTCTTCTCTTTTTCTGTTTTGTAGCTGGCAGAAGGTGTATTCTCTCATCCGTTCAGAAGGAAGAGCACGTGGAGTGACACAGCCAAGCACTCTTGGCATAGAACACGGAAAAGGTTTATCGCCTCGACACCAGAGGTGCCAGGAAAACAGGCCATCGCTGTTCCAGCCCTTTAGCCAGGTTACAGACTCCTAGCACCTGAAATCCCTACTCGGTTTTAGTCTTTCCCAAATCTGACCATCCCTCTGAAGTAAGGGGGCTGTGCCCATTCCCTTCAGAGAGTTATATCAGTCTGACAACACCCATATTCGACTAGCAGGATATTCACCACTACTAGTAGTGCTGAGTAGTCTTCCTAAGTCCTTCTAGTTATGTCTTTAGCCTGCAACGAGCAACATCAGAGCTTTTGCTTGCACAGACAGTTAAATTTGGTATTCTTCATTAAAACTTCCAGAACTGCAAGCCCAATCCAAGTTCAGTTACAAAAGAGTTTTTCCTTTTACTAAGAAGGTTGTTGAGGTATTCAAACTACGTCAGTCTGAAACCTGGATAAAGCAGACCAATCATGAAGAGGACTTGAAAATGCCGGTTGCCCACTGAGAAGCTCAGAGGTAAATTATCTGCCATCCTAAAAGTGCAAACCCATTGAGGATGCAAAGCTCAGAATATTTATTTTGTACTTTTACTTGGCTTTACAGCCTGTACTAGCATTGCAGAAGAGGGTGGAAACACAGTAGCAGCAAGCTCTTATAGATACTAAACCATCTCTCTATATTGCCTGATCACATGTCTCCTTTTGATTTTGCAGTTAGAAGTGACAGTAAATACATATTCCATTGAAAGAGAGAAAAAAGTTCCTTGCACCATAGCCAACAATTTCTTTCACTGAAATAGGTGGGTAAATTGACTCAATCTGGCACTCCACTCAATGAAATTGAGTCAGAGGAAAACCATATGGCATCATTAAATTAGCATAGCAATCCATCCACTATGGGATAAAAATAGACAGCATGTAAACAGATGTTTTCAAATAAGAAAGAAGATTAGGAGTGGGGTCAATCTGTCTCCTTGTATTAGCTTTGTGTACTATTGACCCAACTATAATACATATTTTCCTGATTCTGAGTTTACTGTTCATGACTCGCATCCAAAGCCCACTGCTCATAAGTCACAATATACATCATCTCCAAAAATCAAACCAGAAAAATAGGTCTTCCAGACACAGGCTGAAAGCAAATTAAGATTTTACCTGCAGCCTCACTAGAAAATACGTGCAGGTCTCTCCTGCAACAAATACATCCGAGTGCTTCAGCATGATGTCAAGCCCCAAGCACCAGCCCCCCCAACTCAATGCCGTGCTGCCTAGTTGGTAGCCAGCACCCGAAGGGCTGCAACCAAACCATGGAAACCCCCAGGCAAAACACCAAAATGTGGTAGGAGGAAAACCTCAGTGGTGTATTTAAGGACTACTGAATATTTGAGTCAACTCCATATACTCAGTATGGCTTGTCCAGTCCTTAATGTGGATTCTGCAGCTTGAAATGAAAACTTTCCCAAATAAAACTGCATGAAGCTGCAGGAAAAGAGCCAGCCTATGATGGCAGAGACCCCCGGTCTCCTCCTGCTGTATTTATGCTAAGGCAGGGACTTAACCTGGGTTTCCCACGTTTTAGGGAAATCATTTAGTAAAACTCTTCTGCCACAGCTGTTCTGCTTAATTAACAACAAATTAGTGACTTATGAAAGTTTCTGTGCACAGTCTCTAGAAGGGACAGCACAACCTCCACACTTCTGAGATGAAATTTCCTAAGTAAAATATTCATGTGGATGGCTCAGAAGAAAATTTAGAAGATATTCTTAGATTTTAGGTACATACAAGCTAAACCTGTTTCCCTGTAAACCTATGTGTGTTAGTTTTACTCATAATGAAAAGAACGTTCCAAAGGGGATATTCAGGCATAAGATCTGCAATACATATACAGCTCAGAAAGAGAAACAGTATACCCTACCAACGTGCCAAACTAACTGACCTCTGGGAAAAGTGCTCTATAACTTAATAAGATAAAACCAATAAGTCTTGATAAAACTCTAATAGAATTCCATAAGAATTACTCTAAACCTTTACAGATTTAATAACAGATAATAACATTCTCATTGATTTTTTTTAGAATGATCCCTCTGCATTCTCAAGAAGGAATATAGATCCCTATTAAAAAGAGTACATTTTTTATCATTTTTATCATTCTCCTGTATTGATCAAGACAAGCAGGCAAGCGACTGACTGGCAGAGGGATGGAGGGAAGTAGCAGGCCAAATTTCTATTAATTCCTTACTGGGTGGAAGTACTGTGCACCCGCTCGCTGTTTCTGGCTGCACTGCTCCCACATAGCCAAAATCCTGGGGAAGACCTCCGAAACACATGACCTCTGCCAATTGCCCTCCTTCCCAACATCCTTAGGACCAGGAGGAGTCCCCCATAGCCCGGACCAAGTGGAAAGAGTCCTACGTTGCTCCATAGGATGCTCACAGGCACCATTTTTTATTTGATAAGTGTTATCAGTTTTTACACAACGTGCTGTCATATGTGCACAGTTGGGGTATGATACACCACAGAATAAGACCTAGAATGTTTCACATCATCTGGTGTAAACCTGTGCACCTCCACTGAATGAACCGAACCGTGCCAGTTCACAGTGGATGAGATTTTCGTCCAATTTAAAAGTTAGTAAAGAATGCTCAGTGGAATCTCACTGCTCCTAGAATGGTTTTTTCCCTGTTTTTTCCCTATATCATTCTCGAGAATACTGCCAGAGAAGTTATTACGATTGCCTGAAAAAGCCCGGCTGAACTGGATACACACCCACTTGCTGCTCTGTGATTTGAGCTAACAAATCACCACCATTGCATTTTTGTCCACTGTTATTTTCAGAAGAGTAATTGTGCTCAATGTACTTTAAAGCAATTGAAAAAAAAAATCTTAGAGGAAAAATATATTTTTCAATTAAAAGAAAATAGGATCAATTAAAAAAATCTTACTATTTTTAAAGTTCACATTAGATGCATGGCTAGTAAGTAAAGCAAACCCCAAATATTCAACTCTCAGCAAACACTGATCTTTTGCTAGTGTTACTGCTACCATGCAACCAATCTTGTCAGGGGTCTTTAATTAAGCATTAGGAATCCCATGATGAGTTTCATGCTTTAAATTCCTATTAAAGAGAAGTCCGTAAAGTAGTTACGTATCTATATTACTGTATTTTGAACACTAATCATAAGGCTGTGATGGATCCATGCAAAGATTAGTGCCACACAAATA